CTAGATCCTTGGCGGAAATCAAAAGACGTGGTCTCACACACCCTAAATTTCCATCGAGCAGCGACCCTCATGAGTTGCTGAGAGACGGTTGCTAGGCGATGACTGTGATACCATCCATCAGGCAAGTTGCTGAATATCAGTGCCCATTCTTCATCCAGCAATTCGGGCACTGCTGGCGAGGAAGGCGAGCGTGGCAGTTCGTCATCTCCATTGTCGGGACGTGAACATTCGCCATAGCGTTTCTTCATCCTGCCTGCGCCACTCGACGAGTTTTCAGGAGCGTTCTCACTGCATTCCATGGCCGATAAATTGCAAAGGCTTCACCCGTAACGTTGCAAATTCTCGTCGATCTACAGTGAAAGCCTCACCCGTTACGTCTCTAGAAATATCCGGCAGGCTACAAACCTCAACCGGTTCACTGCAAACACTGAGCCACTGGTGGAAGAACTAAAATCTAAAACACAAGCTACCCTCCTTCTTGATGGCTGCTGCTTCTTCAACCGAATGTCACTCGGAAAAGGTCTTCCTAGCGCCTACCAAGTATTTATTTCGAATGATTGATAAAAATGGTTGACTCTTAATCGATAAACTAGATGCAGCATTGAGTGAACTGGAAACATGACTGTACAATCATTCAGATTGAGACTACAAGTACAAGTACATGTATAGCTGTTACTTACACGTACAAGCCGCACCAGCTGACTGGGCATGCATGTCGATCTACAGTGACGATTTTTTAGTCATACGGGCTGCCTACCGCCTACAACATGCCACTGATTCTGCCCAAGTGGCAATACCTAGCCGAAACGGTGAAAACGAGCTGAGATCGCCAAGACCACTCACTTGCGCATCAAAGAGAGACAAAACAAAGAGTAGAGCCATACTTATACACTTATACTATACTATACTAGTCTTAGGGACATTACACTTGTGCGTGGGCGTGTGTAGCTGTAGGACACGCACTTTATTATTATTACTAACCTTTTAACGCTGATGACGTAGATATACATGTATATATATATACGTGTACTTCATTGAGAATGACCCCATGGCCCAATGGTCAAGCATCCACCAATGACGTATATATTATACGTCATGATTATCCAATGCTGTAGACAGCAAGCTGGTTCGGCCATAAAGGCCTCATCAGTACAGCTACGAGCTAAATGGGCCGAGCTACCAGCCATGGCGCAAAGGAGGCACCACAGACATAGCTCGTCGCTCTAGCGCCAGAGTGCTCAAACTACAAAAAATAGCGGGCATTGCGCGATGCAGCAGCACTAGAGCAGCGTATTGAGAGTGCTCAACAAGGCGAAAGCCCAGGAGCGTGGTACCCAATGCTGTACGTCATGATTATAAATAACCATTTTCTAGGTAGCAGGTCTTTTGTGTGTTGTCATTCCTGGCCAGTTGGTATAGTCCCTGCATCATGTGCGAGAGGTAGCGCCACAACGGATACTAATCCAGCTTTGTTACATGATGCGTCTTGTTTTCTTATTTTTCGCTCGATGTTTCAGCTAAAATTACAGAATGGCTCAGACCACGCAGTGGTTGCCAGCTATTCTGGATTATATGAAGAATGTTGAACATATCAACGTGTTTGGCCTAGTTTCCTAACTCTTGATAGCTTTTTTGTAGCAAAAATTCATGAGTTTTGCGATTATATTTGAATCCTTGGTGTCGACGCATGCGTGGAATACCAGGTTTCGTTAATAAAAGCCCTTGTTCCCTCTATGTTCTTCGGCATTTTGAATAGCGAGCCTCGGAACAAGCATATTATGTGCATATAACACAGGGAGGGTCAGGGTTGGGACATTGATATGTTCGACATCACATTCTTCATAATAATCCAGAATAGCTGGCAACCACTGCGTGGTCTCAGCCATTCTGTAATTATACTTCAGAATGCTCTGTCTCCATATCAATGTGATTTTGTAGCTCTCTGCCAGTGGTTGACAGCTTCGAGAGAACAGCCTGAGCATATTTCTCATCAGGCTGGGGTTTTATAATAGAACTTCTGAAAGACCGACTGGCTGCTCCGGTCAGCTGCTTTCAAGATATCATTCGTGGTAATACCAGCATTAGGCCTTGGCGGATAATGCTCGAAAAGGTGGCAGATTCTGCTTTTTTTGCACCGAAATTGGCAGAACCATACAAACCTTATGGCGGGCAATTCCTCGAATTCTGCTCCATTTCTTTATCCACATACCAAACATGCATGAAACTTACCAGAACAAATACCGAATTCTGCCAATTTTTCTGCCGGCATTATCCGCCAAGGCCTAACCAGCATCCGCTGCTGCAGATGCAGAAGCACTCCGCACTGAGAGTAATGTCCTGTAAGGACAAGGCTTGATTATCTCCCAGAGAGACTAGAAAAGATGTCATCTTACCAACATCCCAGGTGGAGCATTACCTGGGTTGTGGCGGTCGTTCATGAAACACTCCTTTTGTTCATGAAACACTCCTTTCGTTCATGAAACACTCCTTTCGTTCATTA